ATATCGGTTCGAATGGCATATCTCTCGCTTCCATACGATAAGCCAAACTTGCCAAATCGCCAATTGTATACTCACGTTGCCATAGCGACCAGCGCAGTGATGACGTACGCAGCACGGTTGGAAAAAATCCTTCCGCTTCCAAGCAGGACTTGAACCTGGTACCTCTCGTTTCTCAATCATGGTCTGAGACCAACCCACTGTGCCTGCCTGTTTGTCATGCAGTACTACTGTCATTATGTACTAGTATAAAAATCTACGCGTGCCCAACCTGCTGCGCAACAAGGATTTCCAAGGAGGAAACTGTTTTGTCGAAAACATAGAGAGTCATGGATGGAGGCGATGTGAATATCGAAAAGCCGAAGAGAAGTGTTTCGTTGTGCCTCAGGCTCTGAAGATAGCGCCACTGGGTTAGTACTAGTAGTAGTAGCAAGAGTACTCTTGCTACTGTACAGTGTACTACTAGTACTAACCCAGTGGAAATGCTATCCTTCATGCCCGTTGTGTCCAAAAATGGGAATGATTCCACTTTGGAAAGTGTCTTGAATCATGTCCTACTTTCATTGTATTCTCAGGGTTCAAATAATTGGTGTGTCATTTTTTTACAAATTTGTAAAATGGCATCACAAACTGGGATATTCGGTCATCAATGTTCTGAAGTTGATAGATATCACTTCAAGCATTGCTAGTGCCAGTAGTGGATGAAAATTAATCTGTCAACAGAGGAGTGAACTGCATTGTATGCTGCGAAACCCGTGTTTTTGTATTTGTAACTAGTGGCTCACGGTGTTATACGGTGGAATTGGATAGATAGCATAGCATCGCAGCGATGTTTTCGTTCTCACAGAGTGTATTCCGTGACCTACTGTTCTTCATTACTGTCTCTAGTGATGGCAAGACGGCCTGACGTCGTCCAAAGGCCCTGCGGAAGCAATTCACTGCCCTCCTCGTCCATTCAGGGGCTCATTTTACACATTTTACACAAAATGGCAAAGCACCCACCACTAGTTATACCAACGTGGCAGGGAGAATTAAATTATATGCACCAAATTTTCTGGTCAATGTTGATCTACGATAAACTGGCTCTCATTTGCCACCACCCATATTTCGATACAGCCATCCGGAGCAGAGAAACAGCCAGAAGAAAAGCAAATTTTACACATTAAGTTAAAAAATGCCAAATGTTAAATATTAGATACGTATCGGGAAATCTTGACTAGTTACCATGGTTACTGTTTGAGGGAAAGACACAAACGGGGAAAATAATTATGTATCGGGAAATCCCAGCTTTTTGGCAACTCTCATGAGCTAGAGCCGTAGATGAGTAGAGAGGTAGGTGCAACCCTAGCCCTCCTCGTGTTTAGTTACCAGGTTACCAAGGTTACTGGATCGTGGAGCCCTTTGTCAAGTTTGTGTATACACGTAAGTCTTTTACTTTTAGTTTTAGCACTTGATGTGGCAATGACTATGCCTCAGCCCTGTATTGTACTTGTAGTCAGGTCAATGACTATCTACGTGCGCCCAACCAAAAATTCGCAACAAGGATTTGCAAGGAGGAAACAGTTTTGTCGAAAACATAGAGCCATGATCATGGAGGCGAAGTGAATATCGAAAAGCCGAAGAGAAGTTTCTCGCTGTGCCTCCGGGCTCTGAAGATAGCGTCACTATAAAAAGGCTAGTAGCGATACTGAAGTAGACTAGACGCCGATCCTTTGATAAATTTAGACCAGGCTGAAAGAGCAGCTACAAGCAGAAAGAGATGCATGTTGTTCCGACGAACTGCCTTTGCGGAGTCCAGCCGAAGTGGCTCGAAAAGAACTACCGGTACTCATGGATTCAGCACCAAGTTGTTATGAGCACTCTGCACTGACTGCAGCAGCGCGTGTCTGAGTGTCTCGGTGATGAAACACGTACAGTTACTGAGTTAGATGTGGACAGCTGTACTCCAAAGACAGCAGTGACTGAGTCAAGTGCTATCAACAAAGAAGAGTATTCTTGTCAATGTTGCCACCCAGTTGTCTATGCAGCACCACAAGGAGAAGAAGACTATAAAAGTAAAGGAAGTAGAGCAGCAAATAATCTGGCCACACTTTTCACTTTCACCGCAAATGGAAGGGATCTGGATCCAAGATCAGCCTGATATCTGCTGTTTCAGATGAAAATATTATTCACAGAACCATGAATGCAGTGATAGCTTGTCTGCAGGCAGGACTACCAGTTGCCATGAGAAACCTCATCCCAATGATCCCTAGGCCCTAACATAGTTTACACCTACATCCTTTCACTCCCTGGATAATGCCGAGATAGCACACTATTCAGCCATAGCCCTGCGTCAAAGCTGCAATGGAGAGCGGCCACTGGTGAATCGATTATGTCTTATAGTGCTACAAGGTGGTGGAGCTTGTGGAAAATATTGCGCCGGATTCAGCGGCAGATTGAATATGTGCAGCCTTTCTTCCTTTCTGACCCCAGCCAAGAGCATTATAGCCCTTGTTGAAGCATTATAATCAGCATTATGAGGTAGTTTTTGGAGCATTATGAATTTATGATTAGCATTATACGAACATTTTCAGAGCATTATCCGCTGTCATGGTATTAGATAAACCTTGTTTTCCTGTTTTTTTTGGTGTTTTTTTGTTTTTTTTCTCGTTTTTTGCGTTTTTTCACACATACAATTGTTTTCATTTTTTGGTGTTCTGTTCTAATCATTCGCCATGCCACTGTCAATTGTATTCTGTTTGCCCGTAAAAGAGGCCTTTATCGATAAACCTTGTTTTAGTTCACACCTGTTGTTTTTTTTTGTTTTTTGTTTTTTGATGATGATAGGGAAGGCCTCTTTTACGGGCAAAGCAAAGCACAATCATCACCATGTATCAGTACAGTGAGTAGTTGAACCCAACCTGTTGTTGGTACCGAATATAAAGCCGGCATTATCCGCTGGACCCTACAATGGTGCATGATTATACATGTTGTTGGTTAGACAGCATGAAACAAGGTGGAGGACACCGTGTCCGGACAGTGACCGTTCTACAACCGTCCACGGTTGGTAGGGCCCCGGTCAGTTGAGACCATCTGAACCGTATGGGTGTTAAAGCCGGTCAGTCTGACCCGCGTTATGCTAACGTCAGTCGTGTATTCTGTGATCGCTCCTGGATGTCGTCCTGATAGTCATAAAATTGATAATAGTAGCTATTTTAACCTGAATTGTTTTTCAGGCCCTTGAATTGGGAGGTGACAGTAAGTGTAAGGCGTCTTTAATAGATACCCTTAGCAAAAACCGTTCTGACTGTTGTAACGTAAAAGTAAAGTTTGCACGTCCGCGTTACCACCGGCTATACAATTGCGTTGAGAAACACAACCAGCTTACAGGAAGTTTCGCATGTGCCAGGCCACCACCATGCCTGTGATGTAACGTAATGTTTATGCACTCTTGCTTACGGTAATAGCGTGACAACAGCAAGAGTGCATATGTACTCTTGCCGTAAGGGTACAACCATTTATGGCAAAAAATAAATAAATTCGACGGGGTTCGCGTACCGGGCAGGTCAAGAACAAGGAGTCGTACAACTCCCTGGTCAAGAACCACCTTTCTGCTTCCGTGGGACGCCACCACCCCATGATCAGGCGTCAGATGCATTTATGGCAAGGTGAAATGGGGTATGCACTACGCAATATTTGGCCAAAAAGCGTACCGTTTGTCACAACGATAAATCAGCCCCCATAACGTTTTTACACTGCAGCTTCACCGGTGATCAAGGTACGAGTACCGTAAAAAATACTAACCAGAATTACACTGAATAAAGCCTCGCAAGCCGTGGTCGCTTTTGTATGTAGGTCTTTATCAAGATGATTTAATATATTATGTATTGCAGTTAGATGGGACTTTGCCCTGGGCATGGAAATTCTGTCGTTGTTCGCGACTTGTCGTTATATCCGCAGTCGTTATTAGCGAAGTTGACTGTATATGCGCCTCGTTAGAATAATGGCTTTTACAGTACTCCCTGTACGGACTTGACTTCATGTACTGGAAAACCGGAAAACCGGAAAGTTTAACGACCAAAAAGTAAAACATTTTTGTAATTTTGGCGTGATAACGTGCAGAAAGTGTAACGATGGCTACATGGCCACCCAGAACATGCATCGATGTACCGGTATGCGCATCTTTACACGGACATCTCGAACTGGGTTCGAGATTACGTTTCTTCAAACAACGAAAAAATTGGTCGTTATAACGTTAGACTTTGCGACTCGCTAGACTTTCCGGTTTTACAGTATGCGAAGGGTGAACAGGTGTGTGTGTGTGTGTGTGTGTGTGTTTGGTCTATACGGCCCGGGTCCTACTGCTCCACCCAGGGAGTTGTACAATACGACTCCGTGACTCTCTGGTTGGAACTTATCCCCACATGTCCAGCCGTCACTCCGACCAGTTGCAAGCGGCTCATCGGGCAGTCGAAGGAGTAAATCAGATCAACGTGTCCGGGACCTGTAAATGACGATGCCTTAAAGTAAAATAAAAGCTTCCAAAACGTATTACATTAGTAACTTAACAAAGAAGAAACGAAACCGATATGCCAGCTGGTGCCACAGTACAGGAGACCCCTAGTGTGTACGATTAAGAGAATTGGAGAAGAAGAAAAAGGGGATGGGAAAAGAAAAATTCACAAACATCACCCATCGGAATACGCGCAGTGCGTGCATTCGAATACGGTTAGTGTATAAAACTGACAGAAGTACTACCAAGAGTACATAAATTACATAAATTACATAAATTATGTACTCTTGGTAGTACTTGTATTGTGGAACAGACCGAGATTCCAGACTGGACGGTCGAAAGCAGCAAAATACACGAGTAATAGGTGGGCGAGGCCAGGGCTAACGTTATAATAATATATATATATATATATATATAAAAAGACGCGCACATTACAAGATAGCAGCCTATAGACCTGGATAGCAGCAGTGAGCTCAGTATAAAAAAATAAAGCGGATCAGATATATATCGGGATCCCGCGTCAGCTGGGAATCCTTTCTAAATAGAATTACTCGTTCGGTTAACAAGGTTTTTGAGTACACGGGGCATGCAGCAGAAATGGAGAACGGAGAGATGCAGGAGCATTGTCAGTTCAGTTGGCTCTTCAACGGCGCGGTTACGACACGAGCAACGCGAGAAGGTTATTTGCTGCAAAGTGGTAATAAGAATATAGCTGCACGCTTGAAGCGGTTGTTCGCTGCACGGTTACACAGGGCTGAGTTCATCATCCATATGGCAATTATCATGTTTCTCGTCTGCATACACCGACGTCAAAAAGTTATGTACATTGCTCGGAGCAATAATTCTTGGTGTGCTTACTCTGGACAACTTAAATCCTACGCACGGCAGAAAAACACAACACACACAACAGGCAAAGCTAGAGGTCAATGAGAAGCCCAGTCAAAAGTAGCAACGCTCTGTACTTGGTGTGATCAAGAGCACACACACCTCCACCCCCGGTCCACCCCCTCCCCCCAAGAGTGTGCAACTGCCGCATGCCCTGCTGTCCCGACAGAATTTCACGTAGACATCATTCTTACGATGCAATGCTCCTCGCACGAGTGATTTACGATGTTGGTACGGGGTGTCAACGCATCACAGTCATGCACATGTGTTTTCTTGAACAGGATGAAAATCTTCGTCCATCACAGAGTTATATGAAGAGTACAACCCCCACCCCAGAGTGTGCAACGTCTGATCCAGCTCTGCATAAGGTCTTGATCGAGCGTAGTCGGATCTTCTGATGTCATGCGCAGATCTACGCTCCACACCGCTACAAGGCCGGTCTCCAGGCAGGGCACCGTTGGTTTTGATCTGAGAGTCCCCGCGACTCCCCGGGTCCCCTCGGATCTGTACGGTATTATGACGCAAAGATCCGATTACGCTCAACCAACACCCTAAGCAGAGCTGGATCAGGCGTTGCACACTCCGGGGGGGGGGGATATGTACTCTTGGTCATACCCGTTTGAACAACTATGCTTAATCATCTAGACAGTACACTCAAATTCTCAAATTCCAACATTTTCTTCTCAACACTGCACAAAACTGCACAAAACTGCACGGGCCACCTTTCCGGATCTGGAGGCTCAAATAGCAACACGAAGAAGAACGAGAAGAACAAGAGACCATGACTGACCTCACACGTAGTCATCCATCTATTACTACAACTAGGGTTGCTTCATTCTCCTCAAGAAACTGGGCACAGAGGTGCAGGCTGGGGATGCTGGGCGGGTGTCCCAATCAAGCGCTGGATTTTCAGATAAAAATAACAACAGCAACAACATCAGTAACAGCCCGCCCCCAATGCAGGATAGTTTGGACATGGGGCCATTATGATAAGTAAAATTTAATTATACTCTTGTTTAAAGTAGTCTACACTGGATAAATCACACGCTCGATTCCGGAGGCATACAATAAACGTGTGTCTTATCGCGATTGCGCGACTTATATATTGGTACACTGTGCATGTGTGTGTGTGTGTGTGTGTGTGTGTGTGTGTGTGTGTGTGTGTGCGCGCGCGCGCGTGCGTGTGTGCGTGCGTGTGTATAATTGTGAATATGTTTGCCTGTATTAGGTCTGCAGCTGTTGACACTCTGTACGTCAATTATCATACGTACACTCTTACAGTACATGTATAGTACTCAGCAGTTTTCGGGTTTTATTTGTTGAAGTAAAGTGAAACCTGTAATGGTGGCCACTTGGATATGGCGACCACCCGACCATGTCGACCACTTGGATATGGCGACCACCCGACCATGTCGACCACTTGGATATGGCGACCACCCGACCATGTCGACCACTTGGATATGGCGACCACCCGACCATGTCGACCACTTGGATATGGTGACCACCCGACCATGTCGACCACTTGGATATGGCGACCACCCAACCATGTCGACCACTTTTCCTTGTCACGGACGCATTCACGTTCAAAACACCTCGGATAAGGCGACCACTCGCTCAACGCGACCGACGACCACCCCACCCGCGACCGCGTTGCACAGTGCTAGTCATGTAAATGTACGCATTGCATGGTGCACCAGGCATGGTAGATCTACACATCAGTGCAGGAAGTGTAGATGTACATGGTGCATGCACGACATTCGACAGGTCTGAGGACCCCAGGCATAGAGTCGTGCTAGGGTAGGATAGGTGTGTGCACTGTGATGCACTGATCAAAATGATGTATCACATGTGTTCCCACTTGAACTCCCCCCCCCCCCCTACACACACACAGAGTGCGTGCCCCCCCCCCCCCCAACACACACACAGTGCATGCCCCCCCCCCCCCAACACACACACACAGTGCATGCCCCCCCCCCCCCACACACACACAGTGCATGCCCCCCCCCAACACACACACAGTGCATGCCCCCCCCCCCCAACACACACACAGAGTGCATGCCCCCCCCCCAACACACACAGAGTGCGTGCCCCCCCCCCCCCCCCCCCAACACACACACAGAGTGCGTGCCCCCCCCCCCCCCCAAACACACACACACAGTACATGTGCTGGATGAGGTGCATCTTTAGTCAAAGGAACTTACCGTCAAACGGAGGCGAGGATCGGAGCTTTGGCAGTGACGTGGTCTCCTTGAGTGGGTTCTTGTTGGTCGGTGACCATTCAAAGCTGCCCTGGAAGCACCGCTTTCGAATAGACACTGGAAAGAAGAGTGATATGCCAGAAAAATGCGAGATCAATCAGATTTCTAGAAAAGAAAAAAATGACCAAAGAACTACAGGTTATGCTATAACGTCCACTAACGCCACCACTGGCCCACCAGTCACTTAACAATCAGCTCATGCGATAACATTGCACGACACACTATAGTATAGCATTACATTATAGCATTATACATTATAGCATTACACTGTAGCATTATACATTATAGCATTACATTATAGCATTATACATTATAGCATTATACATTATAGCATTACATTATAGCATTACATTATAGCATTACATTATGGCATTATATTATAGCATTACATTATAGCATTACATTATAGCATTATACATTATAGCATTATACATTATAGCGTAACTTGTGCTAAGTTGTAGTTCTTTGGTCCTTTTTCTTTTCTATAAATTTATCCTTGGCTCTCCATCCCAGGCCAGTCAAGCAGATTATTTTTGATAATACTCTAGAAGAGCAAGAAGACCACAGACATCAACACGCAACACGAGACTGGTTTGACGTGTAGTAGATGTGTATGGTGTTTCCTCCAGAATCCATTTTCTCGTTGCAATCATCAGCGGAATATACGGAACTAAGGATAACACAAGCCAGCAGTGGAAACGCCTATTTCTTTGCTGCTATGGTACTCGTGGTTATTCACCAATCTTCAGACAACACATTTGTCATTATTCCCGTAGCTATGCAATAGGCGTTACTTCAGTAACGTCTGGCGCTAGCCAGGGTCCACACAGCTTTAATTTTGTGTTTGTTTGTTTGTTTGTTTGTCCCATCGGCATGCCTGGCGCTATCCCGTACCTGTCCGGTACCGTACCATCAAGGACAGCATCGGCATGCCTGGCGCTATCCCCGAGCCTGTCCCATTCCGTACCATCAAAGACAGCTGGCCACACTATTCAAATAGGGCTTTCAAATGCAAGATCATACGTGAAGCAACTTGGAAGAATGAGTATGTATGCGAAGTGTATCAGGGGAATGCATGCAGGGCGATAGTGCGGGTTTGAATCCTAGGTTATGTCTTAAAAAAAAAGTAGGAGAAATGAAACATTTATAACATTCCCATGCTTTTTTTGCCTAGGTCATCAAATTGGTAGACGGTTTCGTATTACTATTACCCTCGAATTCAAAGAGAAAGTTGACTCTCGCTAGGCAAAAAAGCATAGCGTAGGGCCCTGCGCTTCCAAGCTCTCTCGTTTCGTGTTTGTTTGTTTGTGCCATCGGCATGCCTGGCACTATCCCGTACCTGTCCCGTACCGTACCATCAAAAGGCCACAATATTCAAATAGGGCTTTCAAATGCAAGATCATAACGTGAAGCAACTTGGAAGAATGAGCATGTATGCGAAGTGTAGCGGGGGAATGCATGGAGGGTGATAGTGCGGGTTCTAATCTTAGGTTATGTCTTGGGAAAAATAAGGAGAAAGGAACAATTTATAACATCCCTAGGCTTTTTTGCCTAGGTCATCAAGGTGGTAGACGGTGTCGCATTACCCTCGCATGCAGAGAGAAAGTTTATTTCTTTCGCTCAGGGCCCTACGCTATGCTTTTTTTGCCTAGCTCATCATGCATGTTATTCGAACAGATAGAAACTTTTTGCAATACAATGATGTAGCCGATCAGTTTGTTGTCGTATGGTTGGGCATTGTAGCCGTCATGATCGACGTAAAACACTATTTACATACACAAGCTCGGGGAGCAAAAGTCTCTCTGTCCCATAAGCTGCCACATACCAACTAAATACAAAACCATGCACTTCACACGAGCTGACTTGCACGCATGGCCCTTTTCACGAACCCAGACAAAGGGATTGGTCTATTATAACGCATGTACGAAGTCACTAGATTACACCCGCACCAGAGATGAAGGCGCGAGCTGTGGCCAAAGAACGGCAAACGGAAAAGATGCCTGGCGCTATCCTGTACCTGTCCCGTACCGGACCATCAAAGACAGCTGGCCACAATATTCAAATAGGGCTTTCAAATGCAAGATCACAACGTGAAGCAACTTGGAAGAATGAGTATGTATGCGAAGTGTATCGGGGGAATGCATGCAGGGCGATAGTGTGGGTTCGAATCCCAGGTTATGTCTTGAAAAAAATAGGAGAAATGGATAATTTATAACATCCCTATGCTTTTTTGCCTAGGTCATCAAGGTGGTAGACGGTGTCGTATTACCCTCGAGTGCAAAGAGAAAGTTTGATGTAGTTAATCAATGAAACAAAACATTTCCATCAGTTCTAATAACATGCATGATGAGCTAGGCAAAAAAGCATAGCGTAGGGCCCTGAGCTTCCAAGCTCTCTCGTTTCCGGTTATTATTCATTACATTTTTGGCTGTGAACCCACGGCATCAAGAACGTTTTGCAAGTGAACAGCAACGTAGGATAACTGTGACGTGGCTGCCAGAAAACGTTTTCTATACCAACCTGGCAACCTGGTGTTATTGATGGAAACAAACCAGGAAACTGTACTGCGATTGTTGAACTGAGACATATAAAATTGGCAGGGCGAAGGTTAAGCGAAAATTCTCGCCCCCGTGGAATTGTTAAAACGCCCACTTTGTGCAGCAGGGTCTAAACAACTGAACTGGTAAGGAAACACAAGCGCACAGAACATCAACAATACTTCTTGTACATGCAGTACTTGACTTACACTTGGAAAGTTTCGAACTGGACTTTGAGTTCGACTTGGACGTCGGCGGCAGATCGGTGAGGTCCTCAAATGGCTTGCGGTCGAGCGGTGTGCAATCGAACACAGTGCTGCTCGGCGGCGGCCCTTCAGCGGAGATGCTTCTCGTACAGCGATTGAAGATGCCTACAATGGACGGGCGGAAAGCAGAGGAGAGGCAGGCGCGGAAGCAGAAGACAAACAGGACCGCTAACGTGCATTCAAACACACGAAGATATACTGGTACTAGTTAGTGCACACAAACTTCCCATGACTCGAGTGGCTACCGACTCCCGGGTATCTCACAGTGCCGGCACCCCGCTCAGGGGTCGTCAAAAACATTTGACGTCGCAAAACACGTCGCAATGCACACATCGTATAGCTCCACCCCCAAACACACGTCGGCGTGCGCCCCAGGCGATGCATTCATCAGGATAATGATCGCTAGCCCGATGCATTTTTTTGTGAGATGTCGTCTGAATGGATCTGGAATTCAACCCCAATAATTATTGCAACATGGTAGCTTGCCCCACAACACAATCATGATTGCATCTTTCGCTGCCTAGCCAGTCTAATTGCACAGCACACCCAATGCGTAATTGTGCTCATACCACAGATAGCGCTGATCCGCCCTTCACGCTGTGTCGCTTCCCAGCTTGTTTTGCATGGGGCGGGGTATTAGATCAAGGCTGTCTGGTGCGGTACGTTGTACGACAATGCGGTGCTGTATCTTTCAGACGCGAACAGGTGATAACGGTCAAACTCGCCATACAGCGTGTTGTACCGGTGCGTGGAAAAGATGTCGCCCCTAGACCGCCGCATAGCTTGCCTGGCGCTGGGCTGGATTCAGTAGTTTCCACTCGATCTTCTCCTCTCATCGTTCGAGTTTTGAAGGTCGTTTGCTATTTCCGTGGCTGCGCCGTCCCCTATTCTTGTCTTGGAGTGCGAACTCAGAAGTGTTCGTCGCACTGGGCTGCATGGCGCCTACCTCAACCGTCACGTTCCTGTGACACTGGCGCGGCGCCCTGAAAATGACGATGACGGAAACGCCTGTTCAGCATCGCAATCGAATCACGAATTTTCTTTCCTGCAGCGAGAGGTGGCTGCCCTTCTAGCTCCCCAAGAGGATGGTGATGTCGTTAGCGTTATATTTCCGATGATAACATATGATGTGGTCGTGCAGTATACACTACAGCACCTCGGCTATAGAGTCATCCTTTGTCTTATTCTAATCTTGTATAAATAATAAAACGGCTGTAACGGCTAATCCCATACTCAATTGGTGCCTTGTGTCTGTTGGACGAGAATAATAATATGGCTAATACAACACCAATACACAACAATAGACAACATTGGCATCCATTGCCATAGCTACCCAGGCCCTTCATAGCCTCGTGCTTTCAACTTGTTCACTCTCTCTCTCTCTCTTATCATCTTGAGTCCTTCGTGTAAGCTTGCGAATAAGAACCTCCTCGAGCCGACTTCTCTTGTGCCTGATCTGACATATACTTAAACCCGGCCGAGACTTTACCTCGCTGTGGTCCATATTTCCTGAGGAGTAACATTAGACCTCATACCCTGAAAGAAAGGAGAGTACCTGTGTGTATTCCCTAATACCAAGAGTACATAACCCAGAGTGTGCAACTCCTATCTCGAGCTGTGATGGGCTCGCCCACGGCAGAATGTTTCTATATGGTGTCATTCTTTGGCAGAAGTATGATACGTGGCGTATGCTTTCCGCCTCTTGTCTTGTAGATACGGTATTAGTTCGTCAGGTTCAGGACACGTATCTAGTATCTACCACCCGTTGTTCTGCTTTGACTGCCGTAGCTGTGATGTACAAATTTATTTGTACTTTGATCGCTGGCTACGTATGATGGCATCAGTGAGCCAAATGGCTGCGAAAGACTGAAGTCATAAAAATGTTTCGCCAAGGGCTGGGGGATCGTCTAGTTGCACACCCTTAGTTAAATACTCTTGTTTTTTTGTTTTTGTTTTTTTTCTTTCTACAAAATCCACATATCTCCAGACACTGTGCTGTACTACAGGGGTAAACATAGAACGTGGTGCTGGCCACGACTTCTTGCCAGGAACTCCTAACTACATATACATTCGCACAGCTGCAACGCACGCAGCAACAGTGACAGGGAAACGACTGGAAATCACGGAGGAAAATAAATTTCAATGTTGCCTGTCAAGATTCTGAAGGACACCTCACGCAGCTTCATTATACTGTACAGGCAGAAAATTTCGTCGGTCAATAATTTCGTCCAACTCCAAAGAAAGGGAGTTCGTCTGGTTGAAATTTTCGTCCATGGATCATAAGAGTGTATAGAAAAGCTGGACAAATCGATATTCGTCCTACATTTAATTTAGTCCAAAAGCTCCTTGGACGAAAAAGACGAAATTAAATTCCAGACGAATATTTCTGCTTGTACAGTACTTACAGTACTGTCGGGCGCCGAAGAACTGGGGGGGGGGGGGGGGGGTCAGGGTTCTAGCCTAGCACGTTCTTATTTTTAGCGAACACAGCAGTTTCGTTCTTATTCGATGCTACAGTGAAACCTGGTTTAAGCGACCACCCCACGGTGCAAGCAAAAGCGGTCGTTAAAGCCAGGTGGTCTTTAGAACCAGGTCCCACAGTGTCTGTGTATAACTACTGTCGGTGCATGGAAAAACGGTCGTTTATATAATAATAATAATAATAATAATAATAATAAGAGCAGGTGGACGCTAAACACAGAGGTCGCTTACACCAGGTTCTACTGTACAGTCTTACATGTGTGCAGAGTAATATTTCTGAGGGTGCGTTATAGTGTACATTGCGCTGTCCGTTCTTATCCGGCACCGTTCTTAAAAAAGGTGAGATTCTAGCCTGACCGTTCTTCGGCGGTCCGTTCTTCGGCGCCCGACAGTACTGTAACATAACATAAATTGCTTGCAAGCAACTCACCTACACTCAACTGAGCACTGCATTTTCATTTTTTTACATACAGTATTTTCCGGAGTATAAGCCACACTTTGAACACTCAAAATTTACCCCCCACCCCCAAAGGGGGGGGGGGGGGGGCGGCTTATACTCTGATGATCAAATTAACGGTGATGAGTAGGATAGATGGCTGTATTTCGTGGCAAAAAATGCGGGGTGGGTGGGGGGCTTATACTCCAGTGTGGCTAATACTCCGGAAAATACGGTAACTCAGTAAGGCATGTCAACGTTTCGGTCTTTGTGACCATTGTTCCTGACCAGGGTCACAAAGACCGAAACGTTGACATAACTACTGGATTGCGTGTGAAAAGTCAGGCTCATCTGAGTGTTGCCTATCAAGAGAAGTGCAATGTAGTGCCGCCTTAATGAATTGCAGGTTGGTCGGTCTCATTAGTAGCATGCTGCATCTAATACATGTAATAGCCTGCATCTTTTGTGGGTTAGCAAGTGACTTTTATAAATACCGTATTCGCAAAGTACCGTTGATCCGCCCCCCACGCCATGTCGCTTCCCAGCTGGTTTTTCGGCAGGGGGCGGGAATTAGATCAAGGCTGTCAAGTGCAGTACGATGTACAACAGCGTAGAAGTTCAGACTCGGTGTGCTGGATTGTGCACATTTTCATCCTGGATTGGCACGTTTTGTGTACAGCAGTGCATGCGTCGGGTCAACATCGTATATCGTTGTATACGCCGAAGTCGCTTCACAGGTAGAAAATCGACAGGGGGTGGGTCAACGGTACTTTACGGTAATAGCCAACTGGCAAGGTATAATAATACTAGTATCTCGGTTCCTTTACTCATTTTTGGTACGGTAAAACCTGTAACTAAAGACCACCGTGACTAGCGACCAGCCTGGCACTACAGACCACTTCGCCAGGCACGGACGCTCTCACATTCATGTATGGTTGTGTGGTGCAAACCTCTAACTAAGGACCACCTGCCACTAAAGACCGCTTTCTCAGGCCCCAAGGGGTGGTCGTTAGTCACAGGTTTTCTGTATTCTTAAATCCTGCTTCGTTTTGGCATTCTGTATCACAGTTTTTGGTTTTCCCAAATAAAGGTTCTCAGGGGAGCCGGACACGCTACGGTCACTACGGTTTTGACCGTACCACTCTTTGCCCCCTGGCACCCTGTGAATTTATAAAAGGCACTGAGTTGGGCTCTGAATTTCGAAAATTGTCACAGGTGCCATCCCAACCCCACGAGCAAAATTTTACTTCAGCTGGCTGACCGTACCGTCCCTGGTTCTACTACTGTAAAAGCAGAAATTTCCGGTGTAATATTTTCAGTGTTCTCCAAAATTGGCGGTTCAGTGGAGGGAAATTTTCGGTCAACCCGCTTTCCAGGGGTGTCATCGATTGGTGAATCCGGATTGGGTCCGAGCAGGCGGTGTGGTTCGAGCAACGCTGGCCGAATCGAACAAAACAAGTGTTTAGTATGCAAAATGTACGCATATCGTACAAAGATTCTGTGAAAGCTGTCCAAAAACGCCAAAGTCCATTTCTACTCCAGCCACTCTCAGTGTCGTCGGATTCTACTCCAAGTAAACCTACTCCGGATTCGATCGGATTCGGCCAAACAATCGCGGTCACTCGAAGCGCACTTGCTCTGGATTCGCCCAATCGACCATTCCCCAGGTAAGTGTACTAGTACTAAACCGAAATTTTCAGTGCGTTTTATTTTTGGTAAAAAATTCGGCACTGAGGTTTAATACGGAAAATAAAACACCACCGAATATTTCTGCTTTCACAATAGCCACCATAGTGATCATCTCAACCCCGTTGATGCACTATTTTCTTCCCATGATTATATTGTTCACAGGTTTGAGGGAAAAATGAAGAAGGGAAAAGTCGGAAGAAAAAATTGACTGCCACCACCAGGACTCGAACCAGGGTCCTTCGCTTGAGGCCAGCGATGCTCTAACAACTGAGCTATGGCGTAGCTGTCATCCCAGCGGAGACCGTTCAACATTTTTCTTCAGACTTTAATATTATATTCTTTCTTCTTTCCTTCTTTTCGCCATGGTTGGCTCCTTTGTATTGGCCTTTGCCATTGGACGGTGAGATAAATTAATAAAATGAATACATGTACTGACCATTATGGTACGCAAACGGCCACGCTGACTTGACGAATTCCTGCGCTAGGTCGCCGTCGTCGCTCGTCGGCGTGTCCAGTCGACAGTCGTCGCTATTCGGCGTCCAGCCGTCCAGCGACATTTCACTGAGACTGGCCATCTCCGCCATCTTGCGCGTCATCAGCGCGGCGCCCTGGGCAGTGCGCACGTCCAGCACGCTCAGCGGCTGAGAACGGTTGCGCTCCAGCCGCGGTGTCACTGGGCTGGGCTCCGTGTGGTTGCCGCGCCGACGCGACACCCGCGGACTGGACACCTTCTGGTCCCAGGAGTACGCGCGGCGGATGGCGTCGAAGCTGCAGGACCGCAGCGAGGGCCGGCGGAGCGGCACCCTGCTGGAGAAGGTCTCTGAGCCGGTGCTTACGCGCGTCTTGCTGCGCGCGCTGTGCACGGCCGTCGCAGCCATGTGCACATACTCCTCGTCGTCCTCGTCGCCAAGGTGCTGCATGTCCGAGCCGGGGCTGGTCTGCAGGGAGCGCTCCACGCAGCTGAACTGCGAGCTGAAGCCGGAGTCCATGCGCTCGATGGAGCGCTGCTCGCCGCTCAGGTCAGAGCTGTACGACTGCATGGAGGCGTGCGGCGAGATGCCGTGCTCGGGGCTCTCGCGGATCGAGTTGACCCGCGTCTTGCTGCGCGTGTGCGGGATGACGCTGTCGGAGGATGGCACGCATGTGTACTCCTCCTCGTCCTCCTCGTCTCCGGTTAGACGCGTGTCGTGCCCGGTGCTGCCGCTGCGACCCGGACTGCCTTGCTGCTGCGAGCGGTCCGAGCTACTGTTGCGCGGCGACGAGCAGCAGTCCACCTGCTCCACAGAGCGTCTCTCCGAGCTCATCTCCGACAAGGAGCGGGACGATGAATTTCGCAACCTCTCTGGAGATGTGTCTTCTGGAATCGAGCCCACCCGGGTCTTGCTCTGCGACGCGTGCACTCCGGATCGAGTACGCATATTGTCTTCTTCGTCCACTCGTGGCCTTCTCCTGAAGCGATGTACTGTGCGCGGGACGCACGTGTATTCTTCATCGTCAAAGTCCGTCACCGGACTGCCGATATTCGGGCTCACTTCGTGCGCTCGCTCCACACGGCTGACATGAGTGGCAGATCCCGATCCGGAGTCCGTGCACTCCATCGAGCGTCGGCCTCCTCCGCTCACGTCCGACAGGGATCGGACGGACGTACGCTGCGAGCCGTCCGAGGACATGTCTTCCGGAATCGAGCCCACCCGCGTCTTGCTCTGCGACACGTGCACTCCGGAGGATCGAATGCGCATAACCTCTTCGTCGTCCGCTCTCGCCCGTCTCCTGAAATGATGCGAGGCAGTTGGGACGCGCGTGTAGTCTTCATCCTCAAGATCGGTCATCGGACTTCCGCGACTTGAACCTACTTGCTGCGGGCGATCCGTACGACAATTCTGAGACGTCAGGTCCAAGACCAAGCGATCCACAGAGCGTCTTGCTCCGCTCAGTTCCGGAAAACACCGAACAGGTGTACGCTGCAGGCCTTCTGAAGAGAGGTCTTCCGGAATTGAACCCACCAGCGTCTTTTGCGGACCCTGGAGTCCACACAGAATGGGAACGTACTCTTCTTCGTTTTCCTCCTCATCTCCCGTAAGACGCATATCTGCGCCGGGGGAGCTACGCGCCGAGTTCCCTTGTGACCAGCGATCCATCAGATGAGGTGGCGGGGCCGGGCCAGCCCCATCCATGCGGTCCACAGAGCGCCTCGCTAGGCTCCAATCCGAACACGAGCGCACAGACGTTGACTGCGAGCTGTCGGACGAGACGCCCTCAGGAATCAAGCCCACGCGTGTCTTGCTCCGCGACAGGTTCATCCCGCGAATGGCCCGCACGTAATTATACTCATACGACTCAACATCATCATAATCGTCCTCGTTTGGGGCCCTGCCCGGCCGCATACCAATCGCCCGCGATACTCTCTGCGCATGACGATGCTGCATGGCATTGTACTCCGCATGTTCCGCAGAGTGAAC